TCAAGCGATTCGAGTCGTCGGAAATCCGCGAGGGAACTCCATTCTTTACGTTCCCGGACGGAAATGCGCACCGTTCGGTTTCGATTCGGAGAAGTGAGGACGGGAAGATCCGGGCCGGGCCCACGCGAGTTCCGTTCCAAACGCCCACAATTTCACGTACTGTTTCTCCAGTTACCCCCGTGCAATCCGGGTTCCATCATTACTCATCCCATCCCTTCACTTTCTTTGAATTAAAAAAAAAGAAATGGAAAAGACTTGAGACGTGGGCCTAGTTCCTTCGTGGGCTTCTTCATAGCCATACGCATGAGCACGAAACTCGAGAAAAGGGTCAGCTTTCGCATATCTCGATTCAATGAAGACCTTAGTTTTATTCATATTTCATCGATGAATTCATCCTTGAGGTACTTCTGAAGCAGCGGCTCCTCTTGTATCCACACAACGGTAACTGTGTCAAGCCGTTAGTTGCCTAATTACAGTTAATATGGGGAAAAATATTGACACTTGGGCTTGATTTTGATATTGGGTGAGAATAATAATGCTTTTATATAAAAGGAACCAAGTAGGACAAAAAAAAAATAATTCGTAACAGAAAGGGTTGGAAAAAAAAATCTGAGCACAGCCCAGTCCAGTAACGAGCTTCCTTTTATTGTATTCTGATACGATAAAATCACATCGAGTGATACGCATCGGGAACAAAACATGTCCCAAGTTTCCCATATTTCTGAGTCGTGGTGAAATTGGGTGAAGTTTGACTCGGTAGGATCGCTAAAAATTAGAAAAGTAGAGAATTGAATAGTGCGCTTGGATGGACGACTCTTCTCCTATCACTACTGCTTCCAGTGTTTCGCCATTTCCCACCTCGCCCCGTCGGAGGGTCCACTCTTCCGTGCGGACCCTACGTTGCCGGACGCGGGCAAAATCCGGAGTGGCGAATTGCGACTCCTTCGTCGAGGGTGAGGAAAGGACAAAACGGACAAAGAACCGGACTCCGAGCGAAGGATGCGGAACGGAAGAAGGAACCGGAGTCGACCCGGTTTCCTTCTGGGACCAAGGGGTCTCCGGCAATTGATAACGAAAGGGGGATTTCGATTCGTATCGCAATCCCTTCCGGCGAGGACGCTGCCCCCCTCCGTAGTGGATGCCCCCCCGTGGACACTTTCCCTCCCTCGGGCCACCTGGCCGAATTTTCTTTCATTTTTCACCACGGTTAGAGGGCGGATTTACATGCAAGGTCAGGCTCTTTTTTTTCAACCTTCCAACCATCCACGAATACAGGATGGATTCCTGACAATCGATCCACGTCGTCGGATCCTATTTCGCTCCGAACATTGCGTTTCGGTCGCGTTTCGAGAACACGGTCCTATTTCGGTCGCGTAAGCGTTTCACTTTTCCTCACGAACGATTCTCGTCCCGCGTCGATGCCGGTTTTCGGTTCGTGGACCGCACGTGATTTAAATATTAGGTCATATTTGATACGCACCGTCGCACGAACCCGCTCTCCGACTCGAAAGTTCTCGTCGTTTCCGCCTCGAAGACCAAAGAAGTATGGACCCTGGATCAGCCGAGAATGAACTCGGACCGAAACGGATGGAATCCGGTCCCTTCCGATCGGTTTTCCATCCGATCTCTACTTCTCCATCGACATTCACCGGAACGAAAGCTTCTGTAAAACGGAATACTCGCGATGACTCCATCGGGGAAAAACGTTCAACCGACCTGGAGCGGGTCGGGAATCGCTTGGGATCGGTTTTTCGCTCGAAATGATCCCTGAATCATTTTTCATCCGGTATATTTGCGTTTTGTATTATATGCATTTCTACTTATGTATTATTTCATGACAACGGTGAATGCCTAGTGAGAGCTTTTTCTTCCTTGCTCTCGTTCGAAAAAAATGTTCGGATCGCGACGAATGCCTTCTCGTTCGATCGGCTTCTCGTCGTTCTCGCAGGAAACGGAAGGCGAGAAACGGACGCTCGGAACTTTGCATATTTCTCGGAATCCCGAGGCCACCCCTCGCCGATGCGATCCGATTCGTGGAAGCCTTCGAGCGTGCGTGACGGCTTCATCTCGACCGCCACGGGACCGTCGGAGTCGCCTCGAGCGAACGCCTGGCATGGGATTCCGGGTTCGAATCGACACGACTCCGCATCTGTCGTGTCGGTCGTGGCATCGCTTTCATGCAACGGAGAAATCGGATCCGCTTTCTACTCTTTCGATCTTGGCTTCTTTTTCGTAACTCGAGTTCGATGCTAACCGCAGTCGGTTCGGTCCCGAAAGGAACGAACTGAATTTAAGAACCGATAATGAAAGATGCTTTACCTGCTGTTTCCATCTCCAAGTTTCAAGACGGTTCGAGCTCCTGCCGGATGGATTCTCTTTCCCGTCTTTCTTATTCTTTCTTCGGGGAATACGCAAGGAAAGGATTTCATGGAATTTTTGCCCGGTTTCGACGGGAAGCAGCCTCGTAGCCAAGAACGGAGCCAAGCTTCCCGCTCCAAACGAATTATATATTTGAAAAAAACGCACTTTTCTATTTCTCACGGAGCGGAATCCAACTCGCCTTTGCTAACTCTCTAACTCTAAGAGTGGATTTTTGAACAGAGCACTATCCGATAATGCAGCTTTATTTAAGTGAAAATGCATTATAAATCCGGTAAATAAAGCTGCATTATCAGATAATGCTCTGTTCAAAAATCCACCCTAAATGATCTTTCGTATGACATTTTAAGAACATTTTCATCTGCACTATCTCGAGCAGGAAACGAAGTCGAACATCACCAAAATCGCAATATAAGAAATATTTGTGAAGATCTCTTTCAACTCTAACTTTGCTTCTGCTAACAATTTTAATTATTAATTTTCAATATATTGGTTATATTGAAAATTGTGATTCATTAATATAAGCCACACCTCTGTGGTGATAAGTTATATATATATATTGCATTATACCATTTGATAGCTTTATTATGACCCATGACACGTATTTCTAACCTCAGTTGCAGTCATGAAAACGTTCGGCGGTGTCGCATTTGCCCAGAAGTAAAAACTAAAAAACATTCACACTCATTCATGACCGTCGGGAGAAAATCCGAAGACATCGGGTTCTGGAGTTTATTCTAAGGAAAATGGGAAATTTTCCCTTTTTGTTCTGTACTCATGTCCAGCGCGAAACCTCTTCACATTCCGGTCGGTCGACATGGCCCAACGGTAAAATGTTCATTTTTAATGGCGGAATGGGAAAAATCCGACGGGACGATATTTCGTGCGGGTTTCACCTTACCATACTTTCGTGTGAAATATGACTCGGGTCGTCGACCAGGCGATCGGGGGTCATCGACCACAGGCGAGCGTGCCATCCCGTTCCTGCATTCAGAGACCACTACCAAATATGGATTTCATGGGCACGAAAGAAAAAAACCAGTTGAAAGTTGGGATCCGATTAGAACAGGAGAGGACGTGGGCAATTTCCATGCAAATTCGGAGTTTACTTTTGCAAAAATCTGGACGTCACGATTCCCGTACAGGGTTTCCGAGGAGCAGGGGAATCTCCCCCCCCCCCCCCCCCCCCCCCCCCCCCCCGCCACTTTCGTACTGGGACCGCCATCCGAGCGAGTGGATCCGTATTACTTCCTCGAAAATATCCATGGACCGATGAAACGTCACCGACCGAACGAGCGAAGAAAACGAGGCTATCCACTCGACGGGAAATTACGACTCGGCGAGCGAGAGAAAGGAAGGAAGGAAAACGAAGATCCGGGATCCTCTTTTCCTTTTTCGAATCCGAAAGAAGGAAAATTTTAATGGTGAGAGTTAGGGCGGGCGGAGTTGACCTCCATCCGCGGATGGCCTTCCCGTCGCCCCGAAACCACCCCACAGTTCGGGTCTTCTGCTCATTCCGTCCGTGTCTCTCTCGCGTCTCGTACGTGTCTCTCTCGCGTCTCGTTCGTGTCTCTCTCGCGTCTCGCGTCTCGTACGTGTCTCTCTCGCGTCTCGTCCGTGTTTCTTTCTCGTTCCATCCGTTTACAGACTGCTCTTTCTCGGTCTCGGTCTCGGTCTCCTCCCCTTCCATTTACTCTACGGTCTGCCGGACATTCCGTAATGTAGCGGTGACACGACGAGGTAACGTAGCGTGAAGTGACAAAATTTTGACGATATCATATCATTGTCGTCGTCAACGTCTAGCAACTAAGTAAAATCCGCACGAGAACGGTGCAATCGGGTGTGTTGCCGAAAGCCATTAAAGTCACCCATCCAGTTATAATACACACGTGAAGGGTGTGACCGACGTGAGTTGTCACGGATCGATGTTCTTTTCCTTTCGTGTCCTTTTTACCCTTTCGTGCTTTTTCTTAGCAACAAATAGAGCGATCCAACCTGGGTAAGGGAGACGTTTCCGTCGCTCTCAGCAACCCTTATAGACCAGATTAATTTCTGAAATGGAAAAAATATATTTTTGCAGAAATTTTTTTTTTTCTATAAACGGGGAAACTTGTTTCTCATTTTTATTTTATTTTTACTTTCAAGCATGAGTACACTTATAAAACGCTATTACCCTGTGGTCCTTTCGTTTTCGTGAGTTTCGTTATCTACGGTGTTTTCTCTCGTGGAGTTCCGCAGACGTCGTGCCGGCTCTCCGGCCGATTCTTTCGCGACCGAACCGAAAGGGAAGGCGGACGTCTCGCCTCGAATCCCCGCCGAGAGGAAACCGTCGATCCGAGGGCAACGGAGACGCGCGAAAGAGTTCCAGTCGCGAGGGGACGAACGAGGAAAGACAGGTCACAAAGGGGGACACTCGACCGGTTATTTTCTCGGAAAGAGATGAAAGAAAAGGGAAGGAGATGAAACTCGTTTCGTTTGACCCGGATTCCGAAGGAGAGAGGAACGTCCGTTGAGACGCAGATCGCGGGGATTTCCCTTTTTTCTCTCTCGTACGATAACGGGACGGGGGACGCGCGTCCCGTTAGGTCACCACGGGCCATCGTCCCTCCGCTCTCCGTCTTCTCTCCAGGTTTCATTTCGATCGGTCCTCCGAGATGAAGCGGTGGTGCGCGTGTGTCTTGTGGCTGGCGTTGGCGAGTCTCGCCTCTCCGATGGCCGTCTCGGACGACGGCGAGAAGCTGGAGCAGGCGAAGAGGAGAGGCAAGGAGATCCTGACGAAGACGTGGCACGACGTCGTCGATCTCGTCCGAGAATCCGACCTTCGCCTCCCCGACGTCCTCAAAGAACTCAGATCCACCTGTGAGTCCCCTTCCGTTCTCCATTCCGTTCGCGACGTTTCGGGGGGTTTCGCGAGACGATCCCCTTCCGTGACCTTCACCGCATTCGTTCGGCCTTCTCCCTTTCTTTTCGTGTGGAACGGACTTCGTAACTTTGGGTTACCTGCTCCATCTTAAGTTGTGAGGTGTTACGATGGAATCGTTGGACCGCGGCGAGGTAACTGTCCGCATCTGGGAAGGAACGGGTAAACGGCCAGTCATTAGATCATGAACGTAGCTTGGGGGGAGGGGGCACCGGAAATAATCTTTCTCTACTCGTGGATCTTTTCCTTCTTCCCTTTTTATGATGAAGCGGGAGGCCAGATGTTGCGCCTGTGCATTCGATGCTCAACATTCATTCCTTCATGTTTTTGAGTGTGCTGCAGTCGAAAGCATGAGGGAATATGCGGTGGAATTGGATAAAGAAATGGATGGGGGAAGAGCAGGAGAGAGAAATTCGCCACGTTCCGTCGACGACCGACGTGCACCGGATGAGCGAAGGATGGGCTTTTGCTTTTTGCAGCGGCAGCCGTCGTGGGGCGAGCGATGGAGGGGACGGGAAGCAAAGGAGCGAACCTGGGAATCGGCTTGGGGACGATGGCCGCCGGTCTGGCCGGTCTGGGATTCGGAGGCTCCACCGTCGCACGGACCGTCAGGGACCTCTATCAGGAGATCCAGTGGAAGGAAGGGTTCAAGATGCTGGGCAGGTAAGGCTTTGCTTCCTCGACGGGGCCTCCCGACTCCAGTAGTACGACTCTCGGACGCTTTTTTTACGTCTCCTTTCGAACGCGAGCGTTTTTCGATTCGGGCTTCGTCTCTAACGGGAAATCTCGATCGCTAAGTCCACAAAGAGAGTCGCACTCGCCTTCGGCGGGCGGTTCGGAGTTGGTGCCCCCCCTACCCCGGTCCGACTTCGTCGGCCCCACCCTTTCACCCGCTCCGCTCTCGACCGCAGCGAGGAGTTGCTGGAGAGAACTTTCGACTGGATGAACGTGGCGGACGAGGATTGCAAGAAGAGGTTCGTCTGCGAGGTGGAGCAGTTCGCTGCCGAAGGATCGACCTTCTGGAACGTGATCCTCCGATTCCTCAGGTGAGCCGACGGGGATCGCGAGACGAAAAGCTTATAGAAAAGGAACCGGACGCAACGGTCGAAACGCGTCTTTAGAGGGACGAAAACGTTCGCTCGATGGGCTCGCGGTACGTCAGACCGTCGAGAGAAAAAAGCGGACAAGGGCTTCTCGCCACCGAGGAAGAACACGCTAGACTCGGAGGCTCGGACGAATGGAGCCCCCGAGGGAGTCCGCGACCGATCATATCTCTGCGGTGCTGAGAAAGGTCTTTCGTCTCTCGCTCCCTTTCTTCCGTCCGTTTCGGTGAACTCGGATGCGCGTCTTGCGACGTTTGCTTCGAACGTGCAACGTGACGAGATGCAGACCGAAAAACTCGAATTCGGAATCGATGTCGAGACGACGATTGCGTTTCGCTGGGGAACGTGAACCCTCGTGGATCCCCTTTTTCGACTGAAAACCCAAGTAGCAAGCTTTCCTTGCTTTTGAGCTGCGGGTTCGCACCGTACCCGTCGTCTTTCGCCTACTTTTATATATTCGGGGGTTTGAATCCATCTGCGGTGACGTCAACGTTGGTCATGCACCTCCGTCGACGCGAATCGTCTGACCTAGGGAACTAGGCTGGAACTAGGGTTGCCAACTCTTCCTCGAGTCAGTCCTGGAGATTCTATTTCTAGGGGACTAAATCGGTTATAAGAGGTGACGTCGGGGGGGGGGGGGTTAGTAAAACTGCCGTGTTTCCTCCTCCCGGCTGTCCCCAGTCCGGTTAACGTATTACATACATTAACCGTTGCCACATATATGTCATGGATTTGCGAGGCGAAGCCTCGGGAAAAGCTAACAGCCCGGGGTTAAGCAGGCACGTGAAGAGAAAAACCTATGCCGCCCCATGTATTTGAGACACAAAGCTGGTCAAGCATGGATGGGAGTGCCGACTTCCAAAGGAGGATCTTTGAACGCTTCGCAGCGGTGCAGTGCGAAAAGTGGACGCTTGAAGCGAAGAGAAACGACCCGCTTTTCGGTCCTTTCCAAGTGGGGCGAATGCATGGACCGTTCCGGTTCTAGCAACCCTTTCGAAATAGAAGGAGCATGCAAGTCACCGAGCCTTGCAATTTTTATTTCAAGCAGGATTTTTTTTTTTGCCGAGCGAAATTCGATTTCGTATCCCCCCAATCGCTGTAACCGTAAGGGATGTAACGAGGAGCATTGGGAAAGTTGCCTCAACTCAACCAAGTTCTGCCTCGCAGTGCCGATGGTCTGAGGGTGATCCACAGTCTTAGTTTTGCACTACCCCGAGTCATCACGTGGAGAATCCACAGATATAGGTCACTATGGCAGATATGAAGCGATTTAACAGCCTCCAGCTGATATTCATATCCTCGGCTTCCACTCCATTCCCAATGCAACTGGGAAACCAGTTGGAAGTCAGCCAGGATCCAGTTTCATTTTCTAGCTGGGATGGATCTGAATTTACTACTGTGGATGAACTATAAGTGATGGATTACTTAAGAAAGAAGTAAGATTTTGTCTAGAACACTAGAATCTTATTTGAAATTATCCATCGTCATCTTTTCTAAAAATTTATTTTATAGCAAGTTACGCCTTATTCCATCTACCACACCTGAGAAATATCATATTTCCATGGTTCGGGCATTTGCATTCCTATGATGAAAATTGAAATGCTCATTCTTTCTTCGATTTAATCTTATATATTGCTCCCAAATCCCTGTTACAAGGAATGAAAATGTACAGGCCAAAACCTTGCAGGTAACTTCGTGGCAAATGCTGGAACTGAATCCCGGAAAATTCCGTGAGTTTGCCATTAGGAGACACTCTCCTAATGACAACCTTACGTGACAGTACTGAAAGACATCGAATCACCTTCGTGAGCACGTTTCATAGGTTTCAAAGGGGCTACTTAAAAGGAAAAAGAAAAAAAAATTGAGTAGGGGACGTGCAGCTTGGCTTCGTCCCAGGTGAATATAATGAATATCGGCGATATGCTAAGGTCGTGGGAAGGAACCAGTGTAACGGAGCGTACATGCATTTCATTGCAGCAAGAAACATCCATCTTTCAATTCCTACTGGGACGCTGTGGAAAACGGGTTGGATAACCGAGACTGCGGAGAGATCTACTTCCGCTGTCCCGTCTCTTCACCAGACATGTTAGCCGAGGTCCCTCTCGATCGGTTCGGGATCAACACTAAACTTCTGCGTGCCATTCCATGGGGCCTCATCCTTCCCGGACCCGAAGCCAACTCTCTCGAGTAAAATCCAACGAGGTCAACCGAGAACATCAATTCACTTGTGATAGTCCCTAGATTCCCGTTTCTTTTCCGGTTAATTTCGATCTCAGGCGGACGAACGACTTCTCTTTTTCATTCTTCCCATAAGTTATTGAAAGTACCCATCCCACCATCCCTCTCTCCTTCTAAAACAGTATTCGCTCATCATGTTGCTGTTGACCTATTAATTTATTGGTGGATTTTATTACCGTGTTGGAAATTTGTTTGTTTCCTCCCCCCCTTTTTTCTGTTGAAATAAACTGAAAAAATGCCACAATCGCTTGATGATGATCATTTACAATTTATTCACCAATGATGATGATGTAAACATATAATTACGAGTCACAATGGAAAGGGTGCCAGATGGAAATTTCCCGGTGGCCTTTCACTTAGCAAAGGGAACCGTGTCGAGGGTGTTTTCGTTCGGACTCGTGACGTAGATGGAAACTGGGTTGTTCGTGGGTGGAGGTCGTACGCATCAAAGTGAGAGTCACCGTGATGCTGCATCTCCATTGAGAAGGAGGCGTTGACGGAGGGCGGCTAGACGTTTAGCCCACCGCTCTTCTCGACTCTCATGCTCTCCAAACAACTGCAAAAAAAAATAAAACCCCCCACAGCCTATGACTCATGATCAGGGAAATACTGCAAAGCATCTGGTACATGTTCATTTTAAAAGCTGATTGTCACAAACGGCGTAAATATCGGCTAAATTATTAATGTGTTATATGCTTAATATATTAATGCCACACATGGCTTTAAATATACAGTGAAAACTCGTTAACTCGAACTTTTATGGACCGGGCAAATCGTTTCGAGTTATCAGAAATCGCCCCC